CATCTTCGTCATCTTCATCATCATCAGACTGAGCCATCAAGGCAAAGATTGAGTCATACTCAGTTTCTTCACTTTCTGCTGCCATCATTGAACTATCACCATGCTCATTTTCTTCTTCAGATTCGCTGGAGGAGTCTCCCCATGTAGCAAGAGCTTGTTTCATAACATTATCAGCGTCACTTTTCCTCTTGAAGCGTTTATCAGGAACCGAGTTCCTCTTGGCTGCTTTGTCAAAGTTGTTTTTGTACTGATCTTGCTTTAGGAGAGGGAAATCCTTGATGAAGTGTCCTGGATTACCACACTTATGACATAGGTCATAACCTTTTGGCTTGCTGGCGCTCCCCCTTTTTGGAATGCCTCCATTCCTGCGAACCATCTTATGGAAACGTTTTGCTAGGTAAGCCATATCAGCATCCTCGCCACTTGAATCATTGCTGTCAGTTTTGAGGACCAGGTTCTTCTCCCTTTTGGGCTCTCTTCTTTCATTGTCCTTCTTATTCTTCATTTCATATGTTTTCAAATTTCCAACAAGTTCATCTATGGTTAGCGCCTGCAAGTCCTTTGCCTCTGTGATAGCGTTCACCTTGCTTTCCCAGGAGCTGGGTAGGACACTGAGAATTTTCCTAACAAGCTTGTTTTTTGAAATGATTTCCCCAAGAGAGTGAAGCTCATTGATGATAGAGGTGAAACGAGTATGCATATCTTGAATGGATTCATCGTCTTTCATCCTGAAGAGCTCGTATTCAGTTGTAAGCATGTCAATCTTTGATTGCTTGAACTATGTTGTTCCTTCATGAGTTGTCTGAAGAGCATCCCAGATTTCCTTTGCTAATTAGCATGTCGATATCCAGTTATATTCATCAGGATCAATGCCACAAATAAGAATTTTCTTTGCACAAAAATTCTTTTCTATGGCCTTTTGATCAGCGTCATTGAATTCCTTCCTCGTTTTGGGAATGGTTACAGCTGGCTCGCCAATAGTCTTTGTAGGAACAAAGGGTCCATTACAAATGACATCCCAAAGCTCGAAGTCTTCAGCCATTATGAAGTCGTGCATCCTAGTCTTCCACCATCCATAATATTGGCCGTTGAACCTTGGTGGTTTGTAAGTAGACTGGCCTTCTTCGAAGTTTGGCGGAGCAGCCATGAGGATCCTTCTAGGTGTTAGCCTGATAGAAAGAACCCGCTCTGATACCAATTGATAGAATTTGAGGGTCCACCAAACTATATAGAGAACCAGGTTCTCTATTAGTTTCCACAGAATGCACGCACACTGCAGTAAGTAAATGACACAGTGGAATTTTACGTGGAAAATTCTCAGCTCAACGGGATTAAAAATCATGACCTACCCTTGTAGGATTTCAACTTCACTACTGAGCAACTTTAGATTACAACCTATGTAATTTAGGAATTAACCTCTTAATCCCTTACTAACTTGTAACACTCTATTACAAGCCACTTTGTAATAACTCTATTACAAAGACTTTACAACTCGACTAACTCTAGCCAAGACACAAACACAAGGGTTTATGATTTACAAAGGGTTTCCTACGCAATGCTTCTAACTAAGCTAAGTAGGAATTACAAGTAAAGAACTTTAACAAAGGTACAACACAACTAAGGACATATAGTAACTCAATGCGGGGAGCTGGTCCGTTGCTATGTTGTTCTTTGTTCTTGATGCCCTGAGAGTCACTTGCAAGATTGATCTATGACTTGAGTGAATGCTTGATAAGTTCTTGAATGTGCAAGTGATTTTGTTTTACCTTCCTTGATGTTAATAATTCTTTTGTGACATCACATAGAATGATGTAAGCAAGTTAAGTAAAGGTCATTCACCATAAAGTTGACTGCTGCACTGTTTCTGTACTGTAGTGTGTGCATGCAACAACTTTACAGTTGGGGCAGTTGACTTGTGCAGTTTCCTCGTGAACTGGTAGCTATCTGTTCCCTCAGTTGTTCCTTTGACTCTGAAGAGTTGAACTGTGTCCCCAACTGGAGACTTGTTGATCTTTAAGTTCTTGAGAATGTGTATCAGGTTCCTTATCTGGTTCTTAACAGTAAGTTTGTTAGATCATCAAAACATAACAGGGAAACACATATAACCTATCATAAACCAACTAATAGATCATCATATGAAGAAAATACACATTCGATATCAAATAACTAGTCAACAATTGCATATAGAGAAGATATTCACATATTTCGTACCAATTTAGAAAAATATAAATTTCTGTCTTTTGTGCCACATCTCATAACAAGCAACCTCCATTCCTATCATTTAAGACATAACAACCTAAAATATAGAGAATAAAAGGAACTTTAATATGAAAAAATCTTACAAATTTGATTAGCTTGGGTTTTAGAAATCAGAACGTTGGGATAAATTTGAAGTTAAAAAACTATATGATTACCTTATGAACCCTGGAGCAGACTGTCAGCTTGGAGTTCATGTGTACTTTAACAATCTAAATGAAATATTTTAAAATGCAAATTAATTATTTTTTGACGCTATAATAATGAAAAACAGCATATACATTGACACGAGAAAGTAGAAAAGTAAGAAGGGGAAAATATTTAGGATGGACCAGCTCTGAAAAATGAGCTATTGAACTTATGACACTCATCAAGTTATCATTAATTGCGGCAAGTGTGAAAATGTTCCAAAATAGAAGGATTTTTTTTTTTTTTTAAAATATCATTTGATATTTAGAATTTACCTACCTCATTAATTTAGATTTACAATGCAAGCTTACTTATGGAAAAATGCTTTATATAAGAAGTTTATCCAATCTCATGGCTCTGAACCGAAACCTCTAATTAAGGATAACTAGATTTTTTATATTCCAACACACTTCTTGATTGTTAAAAAATTATACCTTGAAAAGTTAAGGCAAAATACTTTATCACCCCCTAAACTTGTCACGGATTATTACTTACAGCCTTAAATTATTTGTGTCTTAATTACCCCCCTCAACTAGACCTTTTGAGAGCCGTTACCCCCCTGGGCGTTGATGTGGCAAATTGTGTGGGTGCACTCGCTTGCCACGTGGATTTTTCCTGTATATGTGGCATTTATTTGAAAAAAAATATATATTTTTACCTTTTTAAATATGTTACTTTTTTAGATAATTTTTTTCGAATATAACTTATAATAAAACTTAGATAGAACTACATTATTTAGGCTAAATTTTTTATTTGGCTAAAAATAATAAAGTTTTAGTTAATCTTTTTTTGAATTTGACCTGAATATTTAGTTACTCTTTAGATGCCTTGACTATTTATTTCAATTGTATAAATCTTTATTTTCAGGTCAAATTCAAAAAAAAAAAGATTAACTAAAACTTTATTATTTTTAGCCTAAATAATGTTTTCTATCCAAGTTTTATTATAAATTGTATTCGAAAAAAATTATCTAAAAAATAACATTCTTGAAANAAGTATTTTTTAGAGCAATAAGTATGTTATAAATAATAAATTATTTCTTGCAATTGTTCACTCTTTTTATTTCTTCTTTTGATGCAATGACTATTTATTTCAATTGTGTATTTTTACTTTTTCAGGTAAAATATGTAAAAAGTATATTTTTAGAGCACCACAATTTAGAGCTATATAAAAAATTATAGCAAAAATAATTAATTTCAAACTATGTATTTTTATAACGTTTTAGATGCCTTGACTATTTATTTCAATTGTATAAATCTTTATTTTCAGGTCAAATTCCAAAGAAGGATTAACTAAAACTTTATTAATTTTAGCCAAATAAAAATAGTTAGCCTAAATAATGTAATTCTATCCAAGTTTTATTATAAATTGTATTCGAAAAAATTATCTAAAAAGTAACATACTTAAAAAGATAAAAATATATTTTATTTTTCAAAAAAATTCCACATATACAGAAAAATCCACATGGCAGGCGAGTGCACCCACACAATTTGCCACATGAGCGTCCAGGGGTAATGACTCTCAAAAGGCCTAGTTGAGGGGAGTAATTAAGACCACCAATATTTTAATACTGTAACTAATAATTCGTGACAAGTTTAGGGGTGGTAAAATATTTTGCCAAAAGTTAATAATCATTTATATTTTTTTAATTTTCAACTTTACAATTAATTGTTAGTTTTATTAATGTTGTATTTTTTCAACTATACAATTAAAATGTAAATTTTTGGAAAGCTATAGGGAAAATACAATGACAAAAATGAGTCACGACTTCATTCACCCCTGCTTTTGGGAAAGCAAAGGAAAACAGCAAGTCAAGCCAATTGGATTTTTTCATTTTCTGCAAAAGTCTTCAGTCTTCGCTCTCCCTTTGTGGAGGGCACTGTGCAATGACATCTTGTGCAATGACCCATCAAACTAAATATTACTCCCCGTTTCAATTTAGGTGAACATGTTTGACTGGGTACGAAATTCAAAAAAATATGAAGACTTTTTAAATTTGTGGTCCTAAACAAGTCAAAAAGGGGTTCAGAGTATTTGTATGGTTATAAAAACTTCTCATTAAGGGCAGAATTGGAAGTTTAAGCTAAATTGTTTTCAAATTTAGAAAGGGTCTCTTTTTGGAATGGACCAAAAAGAAAATAGGTTCACATAAATTGGAACGGAGTGAGTACTAGCTATGTTCCAGTTTATGTGAACCTATTTTCTTTTGGTCTGTTCAAAAAAGAATGACATCTTTTTAAATTTGGTAACAATTTAGCCTAAACTTATAATTCTAACCTTAATAAGAAGCTTTTATAACTACACAAGTACTCTCGGCTCTTTTTTGATTTGTTTAGGACCACAAATTCCAAAAGTATTATTTTTTTCTTAAACTGCGTACCCGGTCAAACAAATTTACAATAAATTAGAATGGAGAGAAATGGAGGGAGTAAGAAGTATGTCACACAATTCTACTTCGTTGAAGCATCCTTTTGATTAACCCTCTAGATCCGTCGTTTCATACTACCCCAATTCCCACGCCACTAAGTACTCTATATTCCTTTATCTGGTCTTCTTTTAATATTTTAAGCTAATAGTTTAGTTTATTTCATATTGTTCAGTTGTAAGTAACTGCTTCTCTTTAATTTATGTTATTGGGCTGCTTTAAATACTTTGAACAAGGACTGAGGAATCTTGGTCTTTGAATTTTCAAGTCATGATCAGATAAGAAGCTCTGAGTTTTTCTAGAAGTTGAATTTTATTTGTTAATTCCTCCATTTTTAAAAACATTTCTGGGTTCTTTGAGCCTTGTGTGTTGGATTTTGTGTTATATCAAGTGGTTTCTTTTTTCTCTCCTTGAAGTTGTGAGCTTTTGTACTTGTGCTAGTGGAGAAGATCAGGTAAACTGTTTTCCTCCGTATGGTTAATTTTGGTGGGGGTTGTATTCTCTGAAATATACAAAACTTCTTATACTTTATATTTGTATTTGCATAATATTTGCATGACATGAGTTTTAGTGTTGTTGTTGTTATTGTTGTGTTCTCTGAGATGGGCTGGAATAGAATAGATAGATATGGAAATTCACTGACTAGACTCAGCATTTGCCCGCCTAACCGGCCCAGCCCGCTATGTCAGCTCCGAGCCTAGGCCCTCACGGGCTTAAAACGCGTCACTAGAGTCTAAGGCTTGTTAACTTATATACCTAACATCCTTCTTGTGTTTTGCCGATGTGTGACTCTGTCTAAAGTCTGGGGTGTTACATGTGTGGTCTATGAGAAACAACTGTCTGCATGTAAATGACTTGCTCCCTTCAGTTCTTGATATTTTCCTTCAATATTTTGCAGATTGTTGGATTTTACTCAGGAAAATTAGATTTATTCCTCAACAGACATCAAATGCTTTAGGATTTGCATACTAGACTATACAGACCTTAAAATAGGCCATTATGTTGGTGCAACTATGAATGGGCCGTTCAAAAAGATGGTGTCAAATTGTGGAGCCCTTGCCATTCCTGCTGCTACTTTGATCTATCTGCTCTTGAGTTGCACCGTCTGCTGTGCTCTTCAAAGTGACATTGATTGTCTGAAATCTACTAAAAGTTCGTTAGAAGACACATCCAATAGCTTAGCTTCATGGAATTTCAATAATCAGACTGAAGGTTTTATCTGCAAATTTACTGGGATTGAGTGCTGGCATCCCGATGAGAACAGGGTTCTGAGTATCCGTCTTCCGGACATGGGCCTCAAGGGCGAGTTCCCACGCGGTATTCAGAATTGCTCATCTTTGACATCATTGGATCTTTCAAACAACAAGCTCAATGGAAGTATTCCGCCTAATATCTCCCAAGTTATAGGTTTCATGGTGAACCTTGATCTATCCTCCAACCTACTATCGGGAGAAATCCCTGTGAATCTTGCAAATTGCTCTTATCTGAATGGCCTTAAACTCGATAACAACCGGTTAAGAGGTCAAATTCCTCCCGAGATTGGTCTGCTTGGTCGACTGAATATGTTTAGTGTAGCAAACAATCAATTGACTGGGCCAGTTCCAAACTTTATAAATGCAACTTTTCCTGTTGAGAGTTATGCCAATAATCCAGGACTGTGCGGAAATCCTTTGCCTGTCTGCCGGGGTCCTGCAAAGAAAACTCCTATTGGACTCATTGCTGGTGTAACGATTGGTGTGGTGACTGTAGGTGCTGTAGCCATGGCCATCGGTATGTTCTTTTACCTAAGAAGGGTGTCCAGGAAGAAGAAAAAGGACGACGATCCTGAGGGGAATAAATGGGCAAAGACTATTAAGGGCGCCAAAGCGATCAAGGTAAGGAGTTTCTATGTGGCAAATTATTATAAGTTCTCTCTTCGTTTTTATTCCTTATCAAGCAAATGATTTTTTCACTTGCTAGGACTGCAGAACAGTTTTTTCTTCTCATTTGCTCACTTGTAAATATGGTTTCAGTACAACCTTTGTACTGTTTTTATTTATATATATATACAAAATATGTTACCATCTTAAAAAGAATGATTTTTTCACTTGCTCCAGTGCTATTTTTCAATCACTCTAGTTAATACCTCAGTTCTGATGGTTTAGCATTTGGTATCCTTTTTCTTTTGGGGTTCAGCTTTCAATGTTTGAGAAGTCTGTTTCAAAAATGAGACTAAGTGATGTCATGAAGGCCAGTGACAACTTCAGCAAAAATAATATTATTGGGTCAGGAAGAACAGGAGCTGTCTACAGAGCAGTACTTGATGATGGCACTTCTCTTATGGTTAAGAGGTTGCAGAATACTCAACATTCGGAGAAAGAATTTCTGTCTGAGATGGCTACTTTGGGAAATGTTAAGCACCGTAACTTGGTTCCTCTTCTGGGGTTTTGCGTGGCTAAGAAAGAAAGGCTGTTGGTTTACAAGGACATGCCAAATGGTAACCTGCATGATAAGTTACATTTGGTTAGTGAAGGGGACAGACCTCTAGAGTGGCTTTTGAGAATGAAAGTCGGCATTGGAGCAGCCAAAGGATTTGCGTGGCTCCACCACAATTGCAATCCTCGTATTATCCACAGAAACATTAGTTCTAAATGCATCTTATTGGATGTGGAATTTGAGCCAAGAATATCGGATTTTGGACTTGCTCGGCTCATGAATCCAATTGACACTCATTTGAGTACTTTTGTCAATGGAGAATTTGGGGACATGGGTTATGTCGCTCCAGAGTACTTGCGAACGCTTGCGGCTACACCAAAAGGTGATGTCTATAGCTTTGGTGTTGTACTTCTTGAGTTGGTAACGGGTGAGAGGCCTACTTACGTGACCAAAGCTCCTGAGAGTTTTAAGGGAAATTTGGTGGAGTGGATCACTCATCTCTCGGGTGAATCTATGCTTCAAGATGCAATTGACCGTTCATTGTGTGGAAAAGGTTATGATGATGAGGTCTTCCAGGTTCTTAAAGTTGCTTGTCGATGTGTATTGTCTGAACATAAGGAGAGACCCTCAATGTTTGAAGTGTACCAGCTGCTGACAGCCATAGGAGAACGATATAATGTCACTACAGAAAATGATATTTTGATGCTTTCGGAGACTGATGATGGTTTTCAGCTGGAGGAACTCATTGTTGCTCAAGATGTAAAAGAGACTTTATAGTAGAATCAGTCCTATGTAATTGTAAGATTTTGTTCTATTGTATTATCTTCTATCCTATACAAGTACCACATTCAATATACAGGCCGAGAATGGTTGGGTGGGTGGGTGGGTGGGGGGGTGTTAGGACCGAAAAAAGTCAGGTGTCATGCGGAAGCTAGCAAAACAAACCTTGAATGACGATAAATCATATAATAAAGAGAAATATATCAAAAAGAGACAAATATTTAACGTGGTTCGGTCAACTGACCTACGTCCACGGCGGAGATGAGCAATCTACTATAATAAAAGAGAGTACAAAATATCGAGTGAACAACCCCACGAAGAGGCAAACACAAGTGACATGCTATCACTTGTCCCGTAAAGTTCTCCCCCTAAACACTACTCTCAAGCCCCATATGGCTACATTATGGATGCAATTGAATGAGAAGGAAGGATCTTCAATTTATAGAAGTCCAAACATTTTCCTACAAGAAAAAGGACTAGCCAAATATGGAAGAATTATATTTTTCCTCTAGGAAAAGAAAAATCCAATTATGGTAAATATGTTGTCCTTTCCTTCATGAGATATGAAAATCAATTATGGTAAGAAAATCTGGACAAACACCTAACGGGGACGGGGGGATTTTTTTTCTCGTGCTTTTTCTGGAATTTTCCTTTAGAAGGATACTTTATGTAAATATGTAACTGTGGTGTATTGATCTTCTGTAACACCCCGTAAATTCGGCTTAGGTGTGAATATGGTAAATGAGTGGTAAGGTTATATTTTGAACATGTGAAGTCCCAACGGGATGATTGTGGGTAAAATAGTTGTTTCAAAAATCAAAATGGAAAGAGAGGTGCATAAGATTTGACAAAAATCGACTAAGTTGCAGAAGGTCTGTCTTCCATCAAGTTTTAGTTAAAATGTGTAAGGAATTGGGAAAAACGCAAAGCATGAGAGTTGTAGGCCTTTGAAATAGCTTTCGAACGATATATTATGAAGCCCAAACGGATCTCTGTGCAAAAAGTTATGTGCGTTTTTCGGAACAGTACACGTATGCGCGAACACTCGCGCGAACAAGCCTCCAGGTGCGCGAACTCGCGCGTGGGAGGCAGTGTTACTGCCGTTGAGCGCGAACTCTAGCGAGAACAAGCCTCCAGGTACGCGAACTCGCACGTGGGGAGTCGTTTTAAAGCTATATTTCGTCCCCCACAGCCCCAAAACATAAATACTTGCTCTAGAAAGGGGAACTCTCAAAAACCTAACTCCTTAAGAGTCCTTCCACCACCCAAGGTAAGTTCTAATGGTGATTCTAAGTTAATTTCACTTTTCCAACATCTTATTAACATGGATAAACCCTCCATATCATTAGATACTCGATTGGGACATCATTGTTGAGAGAAGGAAGCCTAGAACTCGAAAATCAAGGGTTTGAACTTCGAAAAGGTAATGTCTTCACCCTCAAATTGATTCTAGCATTGGTTTAATGATTATAAATCCTAGTTCATGAGACATGAGTTGTTGGGGTTGATAGAAAAGCATGAACGATTATAGGGTTGGGGTGTTGAGTGTTGATTATTGGTTAAGAGTGTTGTTTGCCTTATGGGTGATGAAGAATAATGTTGGTGTAATCATTTGAGACCTTAGAATTTATCTAGGAATAAGAGAATGGGTTGTTGGGTGTAGAGACACACTTAATAAAGACTATGAAGCTTTATTTTTACCAAGTGTTTGACAAAATGCTTAAGTGACCAAAACATGAGCATTATAGCTAATGTGGAATCCCTTTGACTTGTATTGTTATAGATTTAAGTTGAAAGGATTGACAAACGTTGTATTACGCTCAAGAGCAGGAAGTTAAGGTATGTAAGGCTCACTCTTTACGTTTGGGAATGTCTATGATTCTCCCTACGTCCCATTCATTATGATCATTACCAGTCTCCTCAGAAAGGAACTATGCCTTAGTTCCCTGATCAGTAGTAGGACTTCTATTCTCTAGATGGCATAGTCTCATAATCATTCGATATTTTATGAGTTTCAGTTATGACAAATCAACTTGTTATGAATACTCATCTCAGTCTAATCCTATTCACTATTCCAGTATCATGTTACCCAGTATGACTCATTATTTCAGTATCATGTATTGTAATATGATTCTCAGTTCCTGATTTTATATTCTTGAATGTTGAACACCTGTATTTGGGCCTGAGGCCGTAGTTTATGCTTTATGCATCTTTGGGCCTGAGGCCGCAGTTATGTATACGTATACTTGGGCCCGAGGTCGCAGTTGTGCACATATATATATATTGGGCCTGAGGCCGCAATTTAATATTCAGTTAAACAGGGTTTTCATCATTCAGAAGAGGGTGTATTAACATCCTTACTTCCTTGTTCAGTTATCAGTTTATCAGCTAGCAGTTCAGTTTCAGTTTCAGTATTTACAGTTCTTTTGTTCAGCTATTTTACATACCAGTACAATTCAAATGTACCGACGCCCCTTTTGCCCGGGGTCTGTATCTCGCGATGCAGGTAACGATTTACAGGTCGACGATTCAGCTTGCTAGGACATCTCGTATCAGCTATTGGTGAGCCCCAGTCTTTCGGGGCCTTATCTCTCTTTTGTTTTAGTCATTATAGTATTTCAGTTAATAAGGTATACCGGGGACCTTGTCCCGGTAAACAGTTGGCGTTTTCATTATTCTTTAGAGGCTTCGTAGACTATAACCCAGTCAGTCAGATATTAGCAGGCTTTCATGTGTTAGCCTTGTCGGCTACTTGTTTATACTTGCAGACCTTTCAGTATTTTTCCGCATCTATGATATTTTAGCCAGACTTTTTAGCAGACTATCATGATTTACATTTAGCTCTAGCTCATAGTTATACCACATGTTGATCCAGCCATACAGTTGGTTCGCTCGGTCGCATGCAGTCAGGCACCGAGTGTTCTGTTACGCCCAGGCCATACTCCGGGGCGTGACAAAGCTTGTTATCAGAGCCCTAGGTTCAAGAGTCCTAGGGAATCTATGAAGCCGTGTCCAGTGGGGTCTCTTTTATGTGTGTGTGCGCGCCACACATGTAAACAGTTGACCACCAAGACATCTAGGATTGTTCCATTTCTTTCATACTCTAGATCGTGCAGTTAGAGCTATGCTTTCAGGAATCTTTTTATAACCCGTGTGAGTTGCGTATTTCAGAAAAATTCCTGCAAAAAGAAAGTACATCTGGAGGGCCTCAGCTACTAGCCAGGGGGCCACAACTAATGCTGCTCAGGAGGAGGACACTCCCGCCCAGGGGGTTGCACCGGGTTCAGTGCCCAATGCTTCAGACATGGATGTCAGGGGAGCTATCCAGTTGCTCACCCAGATTGTTGCTACCCAGGCTCAAAGGCAGGGGACCAGTGGTGTTCATGAGACGGGTAGTTCTAGGTCTAGGGAATTCCTCAACATGAAACCTCCCGTCTTCACAGGCTCCAAAAAGGATAAGGATCCGCAGAACATCATTGATGAGGTTCAGAAGATATTTCGAGTGATGCATGCTACAGACACTGAGGCAGCAGAGCTTGCTGCGTACCAGCTGAAGGATGTTGCCAACACTTGGTATGAAACATGGGAAGAGTCCCGAGGGGAGGATGCGGATCCTGCGACTTGGAAGGAGTTTGCAGATGCGTCCATTGAGGTTTTGGAAGCTAAGGCTTTGGAGTTTGAGAGACTCAGACAGAATGATATGAGTGTGAATGAGTACTACCTCAAGTTCGTCTCTCTGGCCAAGTATGCTCCGGAAATGGTACGTGATATGAGGGCCAGAGTTAGGCGGTTTGTGTTGGGGCTTTCAGATGATTTGTTTGCTGATGCTAATATAGCTGCTCAGAATAATGACATGACCATCACTAAGATGGTTGCCTTTGTTCAAGGGAACGAAGACAGGTTGAAGGAAGAAGAGCGGCTACGGATAGAGAAGGAGAGGGAATTCAGCAAGAGAGCTAAGTTAGCAGGAAATTTCAGCCATGGGGGATCTCAAGCAGGAGGCAATCGCCAGTTCTTCAGGAAATCAAAATCAGGACCCGCTCCATCTTCAGCTAGTGCACCGGTTCAGAGGTCAAAGTTTAACAAGATAAACCAGAATTTCAGAATAGTAGACTCACAGTCACAGGCTAGTGTGGGCTACAGAGTCCCTGGTCACCCTATTTGCAACACGTGTGGTAAGAGGCACCTAGGGTTGTGTCGTTTGGGCACAAATGGTTGCTTTGGGTGCGGTCAGCAGGGCCACTTCTTGAGGGATTTTCCATCGGCAAAGCAGAACAATGGAGGCAATGTAGCTCAGTCCACTAATTCAGCAGCCCATCATAACTCTCAGGCTCAACAAGGGCGCGGCGCAGCAAAGTCTAATAATGCAGGCGGTGGACGAAACCGCTTGTATGCACTGGCAGACCGTCAGGATACAGAGGCTCGTGGAGATGTTGTCACAGGTATGCTAACAATATTCACTTTTGCTGTCTATGCTCTTATAGATCCGGGATCCACCCTATCTTATGTAACCCCATATATTGCAAAGAAATTTGGGGTAGAACAAGAAAAGTTGTGCGAACCCTTTGAAGTGTCCACTCCAGTTGGAGAATCAGTTATAGCAAGGTGTATCTATAGGGGATGTCCAGTTAAAGTGCGTCATCGTCTTACTGTAGCAGACTTAGTAGAATTGGAGATGTTAGACTTCGATGTGATCATGGGCATGGATTGGTTAGAGTTATGTTGTTGGCCCAAGTAAAGGTTAGTTTTGAAGACTGACAAAGGAACTCAGACATGAACCAGGTCCATCCAGTGGTCCATCCTTCAGGTTCACAAAAACGGGCAGATTCAAGCATGTGGGATGCACGTGAAGGAGATAAGCTTAACTTGGTGTATTTAATATCTCCTGATCGAAAAGGTTTCATAATTGATAAGGAGAAGGAGTCCTTAATCAAAGAGAACACTATTCAAGATAGGGAAGGAGTTAGAAGTTGAAATCAACTAGAACTCTTCCACCAAGGAAGAGTTGCATCAGAACTCTAGTTATTTCTTCATCTACTAACTCTATAAATTGCAGGATGTTCTCACATTAAAGTG